TACAGTCGAACCTGTATTCTGCGGCACCGTATTAAGCGATCACCCTGGATTGAGCAATCGGTTGTCAAAGTCGCGAATTTTCCCCCTAAATCACTGCGATTTTCACCTCCATCGAGCGGTAGTGGTCACCTTTGAGTGAGTCCTAACGGCTTGTTTGTATGGTCTTCTACCTGTATTCAACGGTTACTTAAAGTGGAACCGCTCAAAGAAAATTAATAGTAATCTTTCAAGTAAATTTAACCCATGTTCCCCTACCGAGATCAATGTCAAAAGTATTTGTAGGTGAGTTATTGTGCTAATACGAAGTCATGAGCAAAAACGAAGTACATGTTCGTTTCTACTCTATTATGCGGGTAAAAAATGCTAACTTGGGCCTTTATTACGAGCACAACATCGGGGGAGCTCGGATTTCGCAATCGGAAATCTACCCGAGATGACCTCCTTTCGACGAATTTCGGAGTACGCTTTCCGTTTCATTTGCGGTTTGTATTTTTGGTGGTTTCGGCGAGCTTCATGTCACGCCAGAAGCAAGCTCGACGATTCACCACAACATCGAAATATTTCGTGTAATGCTAAGCAATTTAATCTTCAGATAGAGCGTCTGATGTTCTGCAAAGTTATTCGACATAACGCTACACCATTTGTGTTTACGCTGTACCATTCTACATTACGCTAAGCCATTTCACTCAACGCTACACCATTTGTGTGTACGCTGTACCATTCGACATTACGCTGAGCCATTTCACGCAGCGCTACACCATTTGTGTGTACGCTGTACCATTCTACATTACGCTGAGCTATTTCATGCAACGCTACACCGTTTGTGCGTACGCTGTGCTACTCGACGTTACCCTGACCCATTTGACGCAACGCAACACCGTTTGTGTGCTGTATTGCAAAGGAGTGCTAAGCTATTCGCAATTGAGCTAGTCCATCTCACAATTTCATGTTCCAACTCGACATGGGCAACTGGACCGTTTATCATTTGGCTGAACTATCCATGTTTAGGGTGTTCTGCTTCACGAAGGAAAACTAAACCGTCTATAATTTGGCCATGCCATTCCTTTATTAGCTATTCTATCCTGCAGCTGCTCTTTAGACCAGCTTTGAATTTGCTAATCTATTTGACATCCATGTATTTTTGGTGGTGACGGCCGCCCATACATTTAGTCTATTTGAGGCCGTTCCCTGCTGCCGGGCATTTAGCCACAACCAAACTGAAGAAAGGATACCGGATAAATTGATTGAAAAACAACAAAAAAATCAAAACTTCTACAAATTAAAAAATTCAATTCGAAAATTCTGAAAGTACAATATATATACAATTAAACCACTATTATTAGAACATAGTCAGCTTGGGTTTCTGCTTTGGCTCAATTGACACCACTGTTTAAAGGCGAGTCAATCTTTCATCACGTGTAGCATAATAAATGAGAGTCCTTACAAGACTCTATAGGGTTGCGAACTTTATCGCTGTTAACCCTTTCACTCCCAATATCTAATTAGTAATTCTCTTTACTATTTGCCCTACAATTCTTATGATGTTAGTTCAGAGAATTTGGTATTGGATCAACTAATAATCCCATAATTGATATTCTTCTCTATTCTCATCACCTACCTGCTTTATATTGTATTGATATTGTAAGGAGAAATTCTGTCTTGGTCACTTGTGGGAGTGAAAGGGTTAAACAAGCATGTCTTTGATTTGGCAGGGTGAGTATGTTCTTGAGACAAAGTCTGCTGGACGATTAGCACGAGATCTTTCTGCTACTTTCTGGGTTTTACGCGAGAAACAAGGAGATTTTATTGAATAAAGTCGTTGTGACCAAGCTTAATTTACATGGCTGCACGATCGAAACTCGGTCGATGGAAGCGTGAACGGTGGAAAAAGGAGTCAAATGTGTCAAACAGCACACCTTCTACGCGCTCTGAAGGAAGTGGAACCATCCATGAAATCAGTGGCGTGAGGTCAGTATCTTTTAGCTGTCTGAATCGTACCTCTCTATCCGATATGTGTAACCCTGTGACATCAAGTGTGCATTCTTTCTGACCTCAGTGTGCGTGTTAGTGAAGTGTTTAATTATCTTTCAATCAGAAACTCTGAGAAAACACAGCTGTTTATTCGTCATTCACGCTATTCAAAACCTACAAGGTTAAAAGATCAAGTCTCGCAAAATAAGAGCTTGTTTGCAATGCAAATTTGTAGTCTAAGTAATTAGCGGAGTGTGAGCCTGCCTCAATTATCAACTGAGTATTCTAAACAAAAGAAAAATGTTTCGAAATTAGCGTCTTTGAAGGAATCTTTTGCAGAGCAGGGAAGCAAAAATGTCATCAGAAGACACTAATGATAGCGAAGAACAACGAAAGCGTCTGCGAAAATCACGAAAACTTGGTCTTTGTCAAAAATTGTCTATTCCGGATCGTGCATCGTACTTAGAGGGGCAAACACCATTTCAGCGGTAAGACCTACAACATGAGGAGAAGAAATTGTCTATAGGAATAGAAATTGACTGTAGTCATTAAAGAAATTTCGTGATGCGAGTAAAATATAATCGATCAGATCAATTGCCGTTGTATGTTTTTAAATTTTAATTCTTGGTACCCTATTTCGTCGGCGGCACTTACACTGTTGATCCACAAGCTTCATCTCACCGTGGGATATTGAAATTTAAACCATGTTTGACAGTGTTTCATTCTGTCGAGTCAATGACCACAATTGTAATCATTCTTTTTCCTGCTTGAAATTTCGTTTTGGCTCATTTAATTGGGCCACTTTCGTGTGATTACACTACCCAAGTTGAATACATTGTTACATACGATACGTAAACAATATTTCACTCATGTTGTGTTTAACATTTGTTATGTGAAACATAATTGAGAGAGAAGAATGTAATATGGTTATTTACTTTCCTGAAATTGATTTCAACTAACGTTTTTATTTTTTTACCTTGAAAGATCAGGTGACAGCTTGCCTTTAACTGACTTCTGTTCATTGCTTCACTTGATATTTTTTTGGATACAATTAACATTTATCATGCATTGTTAATTTACCTTTACAGTTTTTGTTACATAATCAGCAAAATATCTCATTCCTAATTGGTCAAATGTGTCAAAGAGTGCAGTAAGGGATTTCTCTGCTACACCTCTTTAAAATTGAAGCTGTTAAAGATAAAGATGATTGCTTAACTCTGAATTGTTCTGCAAAACATGGTGGGTTTGTCACTATAATTCCATTAAATTACCAATTTAAAGAAAATAGAATTATTCTCCAAGGATTTGAAATTCCTCTAAGTAATGTGCATCTAAGACATAAAGAGAAGCCTTAGAAAAAGTTTTGTTTGAAATATGATAAAAAGTTTGTATATTTGCATTTGTTTGATTTTGCAAGGGAGAATGACACCATACAGTCCATGAATTAAATTGTGGATGGGAAATGTGGGTTCTGGGCTTTAAACCCAAATAAAATATCTCGTGTCTCAATCTTCATGTTTTTAGGAATTGGCATCTCTGCAGTGTTTGTATAGGTAATAAGATGATTTTTAGTGCAATTTGGTGTTATTAATCAGGAGTAAATTTTTCAAAGACCACCAAAATATCACAGAAAGTCATAAGAGAAGTAGTTTTGAATGATATGTCATTTGTGATTTGCACTCATATTACAACTTTGCACTTGAGTTAAATTAAAATTGCACTTGTTTTCAGCCAATCAAAAGCATGTTCATGTTCATTGCTAGCATAGATCTGATTACTTTCAACCAGTTTCAAGTTACCTGACTGTTAGCTGTAGGTTTACCAAACCAACATTATTCATAATGCATACAATTATTACATAAACTACTTGCAAACTAATTTTCAAACCATATTCCCATGCATAGAAATTAACTTGCTGTTCACTATCTGACTTTAATTATAGGTATAGAGTCATAATGCAAGTTTGATAAAATAATAAGGGGAAATTAGATATTTTGAATATTATTGAGTGGGTTTTCTAAGAAAAGCTGTGCAAAATATGACATGCAATTAAAGACTGCCAGAATCTCTGATAATCTGCAGAAAAAGTAAAGTTGTCATCACTGTTACCTAATTGTAATCATTGCATTTTCTTAAACCTGTTACATCTTGACATCAGTATGCATATTCTTAATACTGTTCATTATAATAGTGTCAAGGACAATTTTTTTAACAGTTCAGAGCTTCTTGTTGTGTTGTTGTAATAATGTTTGGACAAATTAGATGCTAATCAATTTACAGGATTAATAGTTAGTTAGCAGAAAGTTAAGGTTAAAAATGACTCAAGTAGTGTGATCCTAAAATTTGGATCTGTCGAAACCTGTATGAAGGCATTCACTATCTGCCTTCTCCTGGTTTTGGTCTGCAACCTTTCAAAGGTTTTGCAAAGCTGTACAGTATACCTCTGTTTGGTTTAGATATTTTACAGGAATTTATTCTCAGACCCTATTTGCTGTAAAACTGTAAAACCTAAGAATATTATTCCTTTTGTCTCTGTAATTGTTGATTGCACACAGGGCTAAAAACTTTGATGACAGCTATTTTGAAAAACTCAATTTACTGAACTGGAATGAAAAACAGGCTGAAAACCAAAATATTAAGGTAGGGAGAGAACTATGGTACATGCTGTGTGAATGAATTATTTTTTTTGGAATGAGATGTTTAAATATATTTGCCAATGTTGTGTCAAAGCATGGTAAAAGTCTAATGATTTTGGTAATTTTAGTAAGAATATTAAATATTCTTACTAAAATACTACAATGATAATGATACTATGTACATGCGTACATATGCAGCCATGACAAACCTTTAGCCTATCTCACTGAAGAACCAATTCCCAACAGCAACCATCATCTACCTTTCTGTAGTTTTCAAAGACAAACATGATGATTAACTGTTGGCTGATAATTCTTGTCAAGTGTTTGAAATTGATTTTTAGTAATTCTTCGATGAGATGCTACGTGTGAAACAGTTTTGAGATTGGTTTGCAACATACTTGGTTACGAGTTAGATACTGGTATGCTTTCCGTTGATCATATTCAAGCATTAAATTTAAGAAGCAATACCAGTTAGATATGAAAGATGTACATGTATGTGCAATTTGTGATCTCCTCTTATAGAGACTCTGTAAATTGTAGATTGTGATAGTGAGACTTCTATAAAATTAATAAACCACAAGTTTTTGTCAGCTAGTTAATGACAGAGCAGATGTTTGAGGGAACCAGTTATCTACTAGTGGAAGAATTAATTAATTGAAATGTACTGATGCTAGCAGGCTGTAGCAAACCAGCAACAGCTGACTAACATGCTCTTTATTGCAACTGCCTTATGAAGAATTTAAGTTGAATCAAGACTTTTGTCAATGGTGACTCAATCTACACCATGAGAAAAACAATGAAGTATTCATTAATCAGTATGGTATTTTAACTGCTCTTGTATTTGATCATCCCCATAGGTAGATTATATTATTTTAGTCACTACTCTAAACTTCTTTGAATCAATCCAACTTATAGTGCTAATTAAAAGGTGGCTTTTCATTGTGGTTTGTAGGACACAGTCACTGATGACAACCTTAATCAATCAGAGGAAGATGAACAAAGTGAGGCAGAGGTGTTATCATCTATTGAAGTTGAACCAACTTTAAATGATAAACAGGTGGAGTTAATTATATAATACACCAATATTGATATTTTAATTCTGTGAGTTGCATCAAAATAATGTAGGTCAAAGCAATTTCAAACATCACTGATGTTCAGCAATTATACAGGCACTTGTTCATTACAAATGTTCAGACTGAAATTTTCAACACTGGTAAGAGGTCTTGTTGCCAGCTATTTTTAAAGAGGGCTATACAACACATACTCTGGATAAGCTAATATATAATAAGTAGTGTATTCCATTTTACTGGCCTTGATGTTACAAAAATAAAAGGAATGAAACACTCAAGAAATGGGGGCACGTATGCTTTTTAAAGACACACTGCACCATATTTTATCCTTTAAAGCAAATCAAAGTTCTACATGATTCTAAACAGGATGTAGTAGTTTAGTTGTAGTACCTGTACATGTGGTAATTTTATGGGTGTTTGGTAACTTAAATTTATCAACTTGACAAGATGTGTCTCGTTTGTTCTTCCAATAGCGAGCTGCATTGTACTGTGAACTATTGTATACTGTCATACACCAGCTCGGAGCACGTGGCAAGACATCCTCTCTCACCCCTGGAGATTTATTTGTGTATGCTCAGGAGGTAAAAGAAGACAATATGTTTTATTATTAATAACTGCTTGGGTGATCATAGGCAATTATTGGATGACTTTGAGTATGAAAGAATTATCCTGAATTGTAATCATGAATTATCAATGCAGATGTCTAGAGGTAGATAACACAGACACAAGGTTTGATTATTCATGATATCATGCAAAAATCTAATTCAATAATTGTTTTATACATTTTCTAAACAATATGTAAAAAGGGACACTTCTCTCTGAGTCCTGAGAAACTTGGCATGATTATTTAGTATTTGCTGTGGACATTGGGTTATTATGTCAACTTTGGGCATTATTGTATATTTACTGTATGCTCTTGACCAATCAGAGTTTTAATTGTAGGTCTAAGAGATTATCATGCTCTGATTGGTTGAAGCTCACATTATACCATGCTAAAATCGCCTCACATGAAGAGATAATAGAAGGGGCACTGAACTTCAAAATGGCTGCAAACAATTGCCCCAGCCAAGCAGAATTTTTCACTGAACAATTGCCCCAGCCAAGCTTAATTCTTTATTGAACGATTCTTTGTTTGATCAACGAATGTTATAGAATTTAGCAAAGGGTTGTGGCAAAAATGTTGAGACCCCCCTGAAAGCTAAGACCCCAAAAAAGAAAGACCAAAAATGTAGACCCAAAAACAAAGGTTCTTGCTGGAAATCCAGCTGTGGTTTTAATCTTTCTAATGGTAATAGAGCATGCACTCAAACATCAGTTTTACATGTATTCCTTTAATAGGCTATGTTGTATACTTAATTACCAAGCCTTTGATTTGGAGTGAGGTTGAAAGTGACCTTGTTGTGATAGAGGCTAGTACCTAGTTAGCATAATAACAAAACAATTTACATTTGAAAAGCAGCAAAATTGTATCATAACAAGGTCACCCTTAGCCTCACTCTAGCTAAAAGGCTTGGCAACCAAACACACAACTAGATGGACTATTCTGCTCATTTTTTCACATTGAACTAAGTGCCAGCGAGAATTGTATGAGAACTGATGGATTCTTGTCTCCTTATTTAGTCATAAAAGGTCTTCATCTTTGGATGCGGTGCTATAATGGGACTTTTCCCCGCTGAAACAATGTCAAACATTGACTGGAGAAAAAGAAATTGAAGCCAGGATGGCTTTCATTTGAAAGAAATGTCTCAGTAAAAACTGTTCAAAAGAAAGATCACAAAATTTTTATTGCTGAGCCCTGTTTATTTATTTGGAATTCAACAAACTTAAACGCAATTTATTCCAGCAGAAACTTTTTCCATACAAGCCTCAAAAGACCTCAAAAATAGTTCTCTAGATAAATCCTGAAAATTTAACATCGGTGTCAGTGACCACATACAAACACTGTTGCTTCTGGGTCTTTGTTTTGATTTGAAAACTTCCTTCTATATGCCATTCATTCACAAAAGTGGACTGTTTACCTTTAAACTCGTCCATATGAATTTTAAATGATGTATTTAAATTATTTTTTTCACATCAGGCCCTAAAAATATCTGAAGAGACACATCGAATGCTTTATGCCAAGACAAAAGAAAGAGAAGTAAGTTGGAGGAAATTTGTGTTCTGTTAATAGTATTTTAATAAATTAATGAGGATACAAGTCAGGTTCACAATCAGTCAGCATTAACCTCGATGCAAGTAGATATCAAGAGGCAAAACCTATAAAACTCAGCTAATAACAGGTCTTAGTCTTTGAAGGTAGGAAACTTGTTTGTCGCCAAATTGAAACAACAATGTAAGGTAGCTTAAAATTTGTGAAAAATTTTCATTATTTCTTTTTAAATCCACTTGTACTTGACTTTAATTTTAATATCTTTTAGCCTCCAACGTGTATCATAAAAGTTGAAGGTAACATTTACAATCAATATTTGATTTCTATGGCTCCTTTCTATGTGTTCCCTCACCTGCAATATTCGGTCACAACCATTACACTTTTCAGTCAGAATGAGTTTGAAGAAAAGGTGTGCAGTCAGTAACAACAATTATTGACTAAATTAAAAAGGAACTAAACTGGTTTTTCTCTGGTAGAAATTGATGACCTCGGTCTCTGGTTGACAATAAATTAGCCCTATGTTAGTTAAGATCTCATTAGTATACTGGGAATAATAAGGGTCATAATAATGTGAATGTATTTTCAATATACCACAAGTTTTTTGCAGCTGATATGATCAATAGTTAACCATTTACACCCTATCGTCAGTATGCATATTCTCCACACTGTTCTTTATACATTTCCTAAGGTACTGACAAGGAGAATTTGTTTGCCAATCAAAAGTTTCCTTCTCTGGAGACCATTTACTTTTTTCTCATGACCTTAATGTGCGATTCAGGAGTGATACTGTAGGGAGAAATTAGGTGTTACTCACTCTTAGGGTTTAAAGGGTTAAGGGTCATTATTTCAATTCAGAAATTTCCCTTTGTCTTATGTCTGCAACAAATTGATTACGCTTCTCCCATTAACTTAAATTGAAAATACTTTTACACTTATGACCATTTCAGTTACTCAGATACCTTTCAATGTTTTTATTTGATTTAGTTGTTGAGGCCAGACATCTGGAGGCAAAAGATGCAGATGGTATGAAACTTTAAAAATTAATTCAAGAAGTACGCTGATTTTTTTTTCTGTTGCTCCGGAGCTATTTACATTACTGGAAAGGCACTAAATTTACAGTTGATATAAATAAATGCATAAAAAACATAAAATGCTATTCAAATTTTCTTAATATTCCAAACTGGAGGCATTTTTAGAGCATTTTTTAATATTTTTTTTCAAACTAAAACATGAAAATTTATTGAATTTAATTTTTCTTCAGGTTTGAGTGATCCCTACTGCATGTTAGGGTTAATAACAGATGAAAAGGAAGAGGAGAAAATAAAGAATATCAGAGCACATCGTAGGAAGTCTAAGAGCACAATCCGAGAGGTTCTTGATGGCGAGTCTATGCATGTGACAACTGTGAAAGAAAACACTCTAAATCCAGTATGGAATGAAACATTCATGATGTGAGTAGCAAGTGCCATCTACAACTTCATAGAAGCTTTTAAAGTTATTTTTTTTTAATAAAAAATAACTCTATGTTAGCGTATAGAATGGTATGTTGCTCGCACCAATCAGAACGCCGAGTTAGGGTATGTATCTCGCACCAATCAGATCACTGCATTAAGGTATGTATCTCACACCAATCGGAATGCCGTATTTGGATATCTTGCACTAATCACAGCGTTTGGGTATTATGTTCTAGTAAATGATGTAATGGATCAGGGGGCTGTGCACAAAGAATGACATTAACCAGAAATTTTGGGCTCATTTGTTGAGTGTAATGGTTTGTAACCTTCCCGAGAGCCTTGTCGATTAAGGTCGAGATTTATCGGGATATGGAAGGTTTGCATTTACATTTTTAAGCCAAAAATTTTTTTCGCTCCTTTATGCAAAACGCTCACGCCAAACAACTACTATTCCATTACGTACCATAAACAACGTCCAAGTCCAATCAGGACATACCCAATCATTGCACTTCGTGAAGATTAGGCAATTTTTCACTTGCTTGAATTGTATTTCACCAATCAAATTCCATTTTGTCACATTAGACTTCGCTCTATCACGTGTCATTTTCTTGTAAACAACCTGCATTTTATCGCCATTTGAACCCTCTGAAAAAATCCACATGGAACTAAATGCTAGTGATATTGAATTTTCCACGCAATTCTCCCGCGTTTGACTTTTCTATGAATTAAAGTGGCTTTAAGCTACCTTTGACTTAACCCAATTGCGTGTTCATTCCTTGTAAAACTAGACCCTGTGAGCAGGGTAACTGGGATACCTGGATGGTACTGGATCCTTGGAATCAATTGTAGTGATACTACGGGTGTCATACTAGTATACTGAAATAGTGAGCTCAAGTCTGGCCAAGGGCATACACCTACTTCAAAACATAGGCACGCTATGCATGCAAGAGTTATTTTTTGTAGGGTGGGTGGATTACTTGAAACATTGTAAGTGGTCTACATTCTTATAAAAGGAAAGAAGAGTATTAACGCGGAAAAGAACGAAAATGTCGAATTACCTCACACACAGGTATTTTGTGGTAGATTATGTGTGTTGTGCGAATAAATGTAACCAAAAATAAACTGTATTGATACCACGGATACCTGTTAGTACAAAATGCAGACAGCAGACTGCAGACCGGATACAAAATATAGACTGCAGACTTCAGAGTGGATACAAAATGCAGACTGAGAATCTGAAGAGTTTCTACGTCTGGTATATAATAACATGCCATCTTACAGCTTACCGAGCTAAGACATTGGCATTGCCAACTAAGACATTGGCATACTTGGCATACAAGGCATACAAGGCATACAAGGCTT